CTGTCTAGCTTTGCAACCTTTATGTTATTTGTTCCACTGAATTAAAATATTATGTTTTAGTGAAGGCATACTTTGTAAAGTTAATGAACTTATGTAGAAAGGGAAATATTCTTCTTTCCTAGTTATGATGACCTTAGATGAAATAAGAAATCTCTAAGAGACTAAACATTTCTAGTGTATGTGGGAGAGAGACCTTTGGACCTTAGCCCCAGCTGCCGTTCAGGCCAGTTACTAATGCTATGTCTTACCATACATAGATAGCATCCTTCGTCTGTCTAAGAGTATACATTTAAGTCTTTAAGATTACAGCTACAATTATTTTTGTTTAATTTTCCACAATTCATGTTTTTAATTCTACTACCAGATGTGGTCATATTTTTAAAAGAAAACAAACCAAGAAACTTAGAGTAATATGAAATTCTGTTTGATTCCTTCAGAACTAGTTTAAACCAGTATTTTAAAGGCCAAGAAGACATTTTCATATTGTTGTCTGAGATGCTTCTATTGTGTTTTGAGTTGCTGGAGAAAAAGAATTTGGAGCTCTCATTCATGTGCTGTAAAACTACTCTATTTTGCTATATGATTATTAAATTAGGTGGAATAAAAGTGTTCTCATGATCAAATTGTTATCACAAAAGATCTCAACACATGGTTTCATAATTGTGGAGGTGACCCAGTCCACAGAGTACCTAATTTCCTTTGATCCTTTATGTTGAACAGTTCAGGCCGTGGTACTTGCCTTGATAATGAGCCTCCCAAGCGTGACTTTCTTTATCCAGCTGTGGCCCCAGGTCAGGTGTATGATGCTGATGAGCAGTGTCGTTTCCAGTATGGAGCAACATCCCGCCAATGCAAATACGGGTAAGAGGTCTTAATCCTTATGTTCAGTCACTTATAAATGTTCTCTTATGACACATGTTCAAGTGGAATCATGATGAACTTAGTTTGCCTTTGGAGCATTATTAATTTACATAATGCCTTGACACTGAGCTGTTCTGATATTGTTTATATAATAATATCTATTTCTAAATATTTGAATAATACTATATTAATATATTTCCCAATTTTTGTTAAGAAAGCAAACATAATTTTAATAACTTCTCATGCATTTATTTTTTAAGTCTTCAGCTCATGATGCCAATTTTACTTTGTCCTTTAAAATATTTTAGATTTAAGAGACTTCTCCTGCCTTTTCCTGGCATTCTTATAGAAAGTGTGCTAAAGAGGCATTTTTCATTGGCTTCTTGCCTTACCCTTAATTCATTCTAGCTAGAACTGAGTCAATTTCAAGTTTGCTTCACCCACTGCCCACTTTCCCTTACCACAACCCAGAAGGAACAAGGTGACATTAGCCCAAATAATGAGAAAAAATAGCTGTGGAAAAAATTGTAAGCATCATGATTTTCTCTTCATGTTAAGCCTCAAAAGAAGTCACAGTACCTGTGATTAGTAATTAAGAAAGTTCTTTTTAAATTTCACAAATATTTTTGTCTCTAATATAGGAATGTGTTGAATGAATAAAAACAGAAGTTCTAAAATGTCAATCTGTGTGCCAAAAATATTTAGGCTTAAAAACCAAATACAAAGGGTTGGTTGCTACTGTAGACAGAATAGTCTAAATTCCTAGAAAATGATAATAATGCAAGGAATTAAGTTTTACCATAGTATTATTAGACTTACATACCATTTACTCTCCTCTTGGGCATGGAGCATTGGGAGGCACTAAAACACATAATCTGGGTGACCAATATATTGTTATTCTTGGTAGACCTTGGCAGTATTTTCAATATTGTGTGTGATTATCTGGGCATATAGATCCACATGTAAAACTGATTTTTCCCCCATTTCCTTGTAAAGTCTTAGTTTGAAAGGATCTAGTTTCTTTTGTTCCTAAATTAAGTTTTCCCCTTGAAGAAAGTCACTCAAGCCACTAATCACAGTCACTACATGTACTCAGTGATCAAATGACATTGGAGGGAGCTTTATCACATCACTCTTGGGGTGTCTCACTTTTCTGTTAGCTAGTGAACAGTCCACCTTTTACTTTTTACTTTTGGAAATTATCTTTGGATACTCCATCCATAAGCTTCTATGGAAGATAATTTATATTATTATTCATTTATGGGATTTATAAATGTACTTTTTCTTTGTTTAACACATTAATTTAAAAATTGATTTGATTCTTCTCACTTAATCTAGAAATCACATCCTTCCATGCAGGCAGATAGAAAGCAGAGACAAGTACAAAACTATATTTTCTGCTTTTTGAATCTTTTCTCTGTATAATGCTTATGCTGACTTCAAAACCTGAAAATAAAATATATTCAGAAAAATTTGTGAAGACATTAGAGTTTACTGACATAGTTTGTGTATTTTGTCATGAACCTTTCAGTGAATACTGAGTTTTACTAGGTGCATATGTTATCTGGATATGTTATCTGGAATTTTCATGTTCTTTTCCTATTCTACTATAGATTTCTGAGTTAGGTTTTAGTTGTTGTTGTTGTTTTTATTTGTTTCTCAATCCCAGTTCCCCCTCCCTCCTTTCCCTTTAATTCCCCTGACCTTCCCCTCACCCCACCTCTGATCCACAGAGATGGTAAGGCATCCCATGGGAGTCAGCAAAGTCTGTCCCATCACCACATCTTCGAGGGCAGGACAAAGGCCCTCCCTCCTGGCACTAGGGTGAACAAGGTCTCTCTCCTTAAGGAAATGGGCTCCAAAAGCCAGTTCATGTATTAGGGATAGATCCTAGCCCCATGGCGGTGGCCCACAGACTGCCCAAGCCATCCTCTCGTTGGAATTCTTGATCTCTGATAGATTCTAAGATTTCTCCCACCTCTTGAACTTGTATCTAAAAAATTTGGCTCACACAATTATCATACCCAATTTCCATTGGGTTTTATATGTTTTTCTAACATTTATAATGTTTTTTTAATACTGTTGGAAACCGCTGAGTCTTTGAAGATTGAGTCTAATCCTGTTGCACTTTGTGCTCCAGGAGGGGTAGCTTGAAGGGAAAGGGATAACCTGAAGGTTACGTGCTAAAGAGTGTATTAAACACACTCGTGTGAGACTAGGGAGCAGTTGGTTTGAAACGATTCCTATTTTGAAAGCTAGTTTATAATGGCTTCTAGAAAGATGATAGAATGAACCATAAGTGGTACCTTGGTAGCTTTTTCCATCCCTTTCCCTTTGGCCACTGTGTACTGGTTGGAGAGCTTGTCAATATTCAGCTCCATCAGCTCCATGCTTTTCTTTTAGCGAATTCTTAGTGTGTGCATTCAGTTATATACATGTTAATCATAGTTGGCTATTTTATTTGGAGCACAATTTTCCACAGTTATCATTGCATATTATATATTTTTTGTTTTCAAATTCTATCAGGATACAAAAGAAAATGTAGTGGTTATAAATACAAAGAGCAGAATAGCACAGTATAATGTATTTTGCCTAATTGAGTAACCTATAAACAATGTGCAATGATGTATAACTGATACTGTATCATTTTCTGTTATACTTCAGACTGCATTAAAATTTATAATGGCTTTGTAATAGTTTATAGATGGGGAAACTAAAAATACAATGTGATTTACCAGTCTTAGATTAAAAGCATGTGATGATTTGAGTCTGTTACATCTGTTGCTTCTAGGCATAGGTGAGGTTTTTTGTTTGTTTGGTTTGGTTTTTGGTTTTGTTTGTTTTTTTCAAAACAGGGTTTTCTCTCTCTGTATTGCTTTGGACCTTGTCCTGGAACTAGCTCTGTAGACCAGGATGGCGTCAAATTCACAGAAATTCTGCCTCTGCCTCCCTAGTGCTGGGATTAAAGGCGTGAGCCACCTAATGCCCACCCTTGATAGTATTAATAAAATAAAAGATTGTAGATGTGTTTTGTTTTAGAGAATACTTGTTTAGTTTCAGTTAATGTGTCATTTCTGATTAGTAAAATTCTCAAAACTTCTTCTTAGCCCCTGTCTTTTGGGAAAGAAGTAACCTCTAAAATTACTGTTTGGGGACACACATTCTCAGATGTCTGAAATCCTAATTTGTTGCACTTAGAATGATGGAATTTTTAACTGCCGCCACTACCACATCAACAGGATTTTATGTGGCTCAGGCTCATCTTAAACTTGCTATCTAGTTGTGGATGATTCTAGGAACTCCCTCCTGAGGTTCCTACCTGCTCCTCTCAATTGTTAGGATTCTAAGCATGTGACATCATACCCAATTTATGTGGTGCTAGGGATCGAATTCAGGCCCTTGTATATGTCAACTAAGCTACATCCTCATCCTTATTTTCTGTTATAAAAGTCAGGGACGAGAGAAATAATTGATTCAGGGGAGTAAAGGCATTTTACCACCAAACCTGAGGACCTGGCTTTAATCTTGGAACCTGTATAATGGAAGGAGAGAACTAACTCCTGCAAGTTGTCTGACCTCCACAGCTATGTGTGAAGTTTGTGTGTGTAGTAAAGATAGATCTTTACTACATTATCTTCAAATATCTCCTAACTCTGATTCTAAGGACAATTTTTAGGTACTTCTTAGAAAAAAAGTAAATTTCAAATAAAAGAGCAGACCTATTATCTCCACAAACTTTGGCTTATTCGTAGCAACAATCTCCTGTAAAACTCTGTAGAACCTATAATGCACTTTTCTTCCACTTCTCACTTTTCTTTCATCTTCAATTGTTTTAATTAGAAAATGATCATAAAAACGAAGCTAGCAGGAAACACACTGCAGTAATAACAAGTTTAAATGTAGAAAGGAATTCTCTTATAGGCTTATTTCATATATGTGGGGGATCTTTTTGGCTGTATTCCAAAAGCATAGATTAGGATTTTTTTAAGATTTTACTCCTTATTTCTTCATTCTGTCATTTTAAATCATATCCAAACTATGATTTTCAGATAATACCGAAGAATTTAGTGTATATTAATGATACCTAGTATATAACTAGCTATTAACTGTGAAGGGAATGAGTATTCGTCTGTAGGTAGATTTAAGCCACACAAGTTTTATAACTTTGTGTAATTTGTGTATACTCTTATTATATGTGAGTATTACATAAATCATCAGTAGTGTGCTGTAAATTCTATATGTTTTATTATAGAACTGAATGATGTTCTACCAGTCAACAAGGTATTCTCATCTATAATTGAAAAAAAAATTATCTAGTACATGGCTTCACAATAGAACATAATTTTTGTAATGCAATATTTTTAACAAAATATTTTAAATTGAAAAGGTTTTGTCACAGTTCACTATTACCTATAATATTAAGTTGACCATCAGTAAGTTTTATGCATTCATGGAAAACTTTCCAGTGAATAACAGCCTAATTGTTCTTGTAAACTTCAGGAGGCAAGAACATATCATATACAAGATCACATATGTTTCATGTGCTGGGCACATAGTCGACATTCAATATGTGTTTCCATTTCTTCTGGGAATACCTGTCATTTGTGATTGACTCTGTCCCTGAACAGTAGCCACACTAATGGGAGAAGATGAACCTTCTGTGCCTTGAGCATGGAAAGATTAAGAGTCACATATTGACTCAACTTCACCTTTTACTCTAATGCAAGTGGAATTTCTCTTTAGACAGGCCTTCTGTCTGATCATTCTCTATACAGAAACTTCTCCCAGTAATTTTGTTACATCATGTTATTAAATTTCATAATTGTTTTGCTTAGTTGATTGCTTGTTAGTTAGATGATGCCTTCCTTGATAATCTTACCTAAACTTATGCATATTTGTACATTTATGCATAAGTCCTAAAATTTTCCTTGCTTTTTTCTCATTACCATGTATTACTTTCTAACATAATATTTATTTTAATTTTTTTTACTGCTACATACCCTATTAGAATTTGTATAACTTGCATTCAGTACAGTTCCCATCTTATTGTAGGCACTTATAAAAACATTCTTGTCAACTATACAATTTCTCCCCACAGAGCAAGACTTAGGTTTAATAAGAAACAGCTGTTTACCCTCAGAAAAATCATGCCATATCACACTGGGAGCTTATCTTGTCTGGCAAGTTAGTATTGTCAGCACACTGGGTCCTTAGTTGGGTTCATGACTTTTGATGATTGTGGAGGACTTTTCTAACACTCCCCCACAGCCCGCCCCTGTAACTTGTGTGTCTACCAGCACCATGAATGCTAGCCAGCAGGGAAGCATTCAGCTCAGTTCCAGCTTGATTTCTCTATGTTCTGCATTCAAAGTGTTTGTTGTCTTCAGCAACACGGTCTTACTGTCTACAGACTACAGTTTTTAATGCTTTCATGCCTTATCCTTTTTGTTTATTGTTTATCACTACAAATTATGATTCAAGTCATTATTGCTTTGTCAGTAAGAATCATTCATATAGGGCAGTGGCAGTGGCACACATCTTTAATCTCAGAACTTGGGAGGCAGAGGCAGGCAGATCTCTATGAGTTCAAGGCCAGCCTGGTCCACAGAGTGAGTTCTAGAACAGCCAGGGCTATGTAGAGAAACCCTGTCTCGAAAAACCAAAACCTAAACAAACATGATCATTCATACAATTGTGAATGCACTTTATTAGTATTTTTAATATTCTTGGCTCTTTGAACAATTTTTTTTAAAAATAGATGCAGAGAAATTGGAAGATAGTGTTACTAAAATCATGAAAAGTATGTTGAGAAACACATATAAGAAAGGGTAACAGAAAATGAGTTTTAGTAGTTTGGGTTTTTTGTTTGTTCATTTTGTGTTTACTTTTAATGGTAAACACTTTTTTAATTCTCTGAAAAAACATTTTCAAAACTTACAGTTATCTTTGATTTCTAAAGCAGGTCTATAGATTATTAAATTTTCAGGTATTAAGTATATAATAGTTGCATTGAGAAACATAGGGTTCTCTTAAAGATCTTAAGGTAGCATAAATATTCTTCAGTGAGATTTAATACAGACTTATAGAGTAAAGGACTCTGAAATATTTTAGTGCCTCATTAGTCTCTAGAATTCAAACATATTTATTTACTTGACATAAAAGTGTTAAAAGTTTGCTTGGCTATTTATTTCCCCTCAAATTCCAAGCCAAACCCTAGTTTCAGAGTCGACACTAATTGTGCATTTTCTAGGTTTCCTTTCATTTTTAGAACCATTTAGTTATCTTTTTTTAAGCCTTCAAATTGTTGATTATTTAACTAACTTTTCTCAGTCATGTGCTATTGTTGTTCCCTTTCTAGGATCTCATTCATTTAATCACCTTCTGAATGGGCTTTAAGGACTAAGTGTGGGTGCATTATCCTGTTTAGTTTAGCTCCACAGACCTAAGTTACTGCACAGGGCCAGCATATGTAGGTTTTCTGTTTTCCTTCCTGACCTTTTTAGGACTTTACTCTCCTCATTGACTAGCTTATTGCAAACACATGTTAAAAATGCTACTGACAGAAAAATGATGACACTGACACTGTTGTACAGTTAGTACCAAGGTCCCAACATAGCATAAAGCTTAAAGTTTCCCTCAAACTGGGAAATCATACATTATCTCTCATTAGGACTTCAAGGTATCCAGCAGGCTTTCTCATAATTAGAAGCATCGGTATACTATATAAAGACATAAAAAATGAACTTAAAAAAATCCTATAGAAAAGGAGCTTTCTTTATTGGTATTAGTAAATGAGTTGGTAGCTTCATTTCATTAACTCAGATTCTATTGAAGTCATGAGGCCAGGTGAAGAAACTATGAAAAGAAAGCCTTTCATATTAATTTTTAAGATAATTTTGTTGAGTTCACTGAAAGAAGGCTATGGGATGGGCAGTAACCAGATTACTATTTGCCTTACATTAAGTTAAAAAAAACAGATTGATAAATGGCTCAAGTTTCAGTTTTTATTAAAGTGATGTCCAGCACATGCAAATGCTTTTACAGACTTTCTAAGAAGGAAGGAAGAACAATGATTCAGACTGCAATTGTCTAGCTGCCTGGAATGCTGATGAAATGGCAGCAGGGATTTCATTAGGTGAAAAATAACTTCCTTAAGAAATTGGAGCCCAGCCCCGTAGCCTCACAAGAGGAACAAAACAAAACTTTTTTTTTCCTCAACTACTTTAATAATCTGATACTGAGCAGATAAATTGGCTTGAAATCTGTTTCAGGGAAAACCTTAGAATGTGTGACAGAAACAATTGCCTTTGACTGTACTTCCGTAACTCAGAAGCTATAGTGTGATCAAAGATAAAAAATAAAATCACTGAAGATAGACTATATGAGTTATAAACAGCATAAACAACCCAACATGAAGCCAACAGTCATCATTTCAAGAGAAAAAAACAGTTATGGAAAACTTTGACAGAGAAGCTAAAAAAAATATGGGATTAAAAGAGAAGATCCAAGTTTATGCTGGACAGGCATTGGGTGGGAGGGGGAAGGGATATGGTAGGGGTATGTCAAAGGCTCCATAGTCAAAGAAAAGTACTAATTCTCAGAGCATGAACATGAAAACAAAATAAACAACAGATACAGCAGAGAAACAGCACCAACATAAATCTTCAAACTCTTGAAAGCAATTAAATTGATTTTCAAAATATAGCATTGGCCAAAAAAATTATTATAATATCTTTAAATGCTCAGGTAAGATTAATGTCAGCTTAGAACTATATATTCAATCAAAATATATTTTAAATGAGGATAAATTAAATCTGTGTTCAGGAAAAAAATTCTTTGCTAAGTTAATTACTAAAGGATCTTTGTAAAAAAAAAAAAAGGAAGAAAGAAAGAAAGAAAGGAAGGAAGGAATTGGATTCAGTCAATGTTAATCACAGACATGGACAGTGGGTGTTGGACTAACTTTTAGGTTTTTGTAGACAAAATTTTTTCCAAGCTTTAGAATAATATAGGATTGCCAACTTTTAATTTTTGTAAATCATGGACTTTAACACACAGGGATTCTGCCTTCTGCCTTATAGTCTCCTGGTAACAACAGCTAAGGAAGAAGAATAAAACTTAAGTGATGTAAAATAATAATAATAAAAACAAGAATGGTGTCAGGGCTGCAGAGATGGCTCAGTGGGTAAGGTATCTGGCTGCCTGGCAGAAGACCCAGGTTTCATCCCCAGCTTCACGGGGGCTCACAACTGTCTGTAACTCTAGTTTCTGGGGATCTGGTGCCCTTTTCCTGGTCTCTGTGGGCCCCAAGCATGCAAGTAGCACACAGATATACATGTAGGAAAGAGAGGGATAATGAAAAACAAAACAAAACAAAACACTATATTGGAATTGCTCTTCTAGTTTTATCAGAGAAATTTAAAGCATTCCTTTCTCTGGTCCCTATAATTCTATGTGGTAGTATTTATTCATTATGCTAACATATCTGATGTGTGGTAGAGTCTCAGAAATATTTGCATATGGAAAGGAAATATTGCTATCACCTTTTCAATCTTTCTTCCTGATTTTCATTGGCCCCATGAAATTAAAGACTCAATCTCATGCACTGTCATTTAACAGAAATATTCTTTTAGGAGGAGCTGTTGATAATTCCTTTCTCCTTCCTTAAACTTGAGGGCCAGCTGAGCACCATATTTCAGAGTCTTCTCAAAGTGAAATTTAAGATGCTAGAGGAAACCCTGGCACAGATGCAATGATTTATTTGCTGAGAGAAGTCATAAAACTAATTGAAATAAACTTGAATTTTGTTGGGAATGAACGAATGCAAGCTGAGCTGGGGGAGGGATCAACATTTTTCCCTTCCACTAACTGTACCTATCACCTTATATATTTCCCTTAGGAAAGTAATTTGACAAGTATGATCTTTGCTATATAGAAATTTCTCAAGAGATAAAAAAAAAAAAACTTTCAGCCTGCAACTAACTCCATTATAGCTTCAAACCTTCATGATAGTCTCTCTTTGGCAATTAATATCCATGTGCATCTAAACACTTTGCCCATATTCTACAACTTCCTACTTGGTGTGAAATGAGCTTTTCTAGTATTTTGTCTTTGTCAGTATCAAAGTTCTTCCTTACTCAAGATGAAATGCCAACTGTGAATTCTGCTGGGAAGGTTACTGTATTCGCTACAACTACTTTAACAGCTCAGGTGTATTTTCCAGTGTGGGTCTACAGCCCCTAGCTGCATGTAGCAATGTGTGATAAGTCACTAAGGCAACACACTCCTGCTAGATACAGAAATCTGTCTTTCAAACGTTGAAGGAAGTGGTATTGTCAATCTTGACATCACAATTAAGAAAAGTACCTTAAGCACTTGCCACTTTGGGCAGAAGTTTTCACAGGGGCTTTCAGAGACTAATGTTTCTATAACACAACTAAATGTATGTTTTCCTAATGGATGCTCTGAATATTGTATTCAATAATAGAATCCTCTTGTATAGTCATGTATAAAGTACATTTTAGGCTTCTTTTGCCTTTGTCCAAAGTAAGATTTAGACCCAACAAAAAAAGGAAAATATCAAGAATTTTGTCCAGAGATAATGTATACATTATTTTTTTTCACATTTTAAACTCTTCTATTAAATGTGTGTTTTTTTCTTTTTGAACTCGTTTGAATTTGGATAAACTTCTAACAAGTAGGTCAGTATTCTAACTTTTAAATATTAGCAGTCCTGGTGCTTCTAAAATATTAAACTAAAAGAATGCACTGAAAATACATTGTAAGAAGGAGTATTTTTAATTGAGTTCCATTATAAAAGGAGCATTTAGGTTGATACTGTGATTCCCAGAATGTCCTTCTAATGTTTTCTTTTAGCTCACCAGTGTCTAGATAAAGTCAAAAACTTTTAAGTATAATTAACTTTTTAAATTTAGTTTTTTATTTTGTGTGTATAAGTGTTTTGCCTGTATGTATGTCTGTGCATCATGTGCATTCCTGGTACCTATGAAGGCCAGAAGGCATTGGGCTCCTCAGAACTGCAGTGATAGATAGTTCTGAGCAGCCCTGTGAATGCTGGGAACTGACCTCAGATCTCCAAGAGCGACTTGTGCTATTAACAGCTGAACCATCTCTCTAGCCCCCGATTCTAATTGTTTCAGAGCCCAATGCACATTGTATATTTCTTCCTGACCGATAGAGGACACCCTAATAGGAATTCAAAGAGAGCCCCAGCAATGTGCTATAGTGTCATGTGGAAATTTCCATTTGTAGAATCTTTAGTTTCCATATTTTCCTGCTTTCCTTCTCAGTCAGTTGTGTCTATGTCACATGGGTTCTTTTGTGTCTAGAGAATTCGTACTTCACTTTAGACATAGCCAGATGACAATCTGATAACATAACCTAGTAATTTGTATTGCTGGTATTCAGAAAGTCTTATAATTCTGTTCTGAGTCAGATAATAATAAGGAAGGAGGTGAAAATATCATAAATAGAAGTATCTTATGAAAGTTTATCCTCATTGTACCAAAGTATTTGATAACTGAAAATAACATTTCTAGATAATACTTAGACATACAAAATTTAGAAATTGCTCCAAAATGTACCTCGTATTTCTTTAAATTTACATGTTAAATTCCTATTTGACAGTGCCTGTTTCTGTCTCAGTCTCTCCCCTCCCCAGGGTACTACCAGTTTTAAAAAATTATTTTTATTTGATTGTTGCCCAAGGAATCATTCACTTGATGATGCTCTGTTTGCATTTGTTAAGTTTGTCATGCAAAAACAAATGTTTATTCCTATGGACTTTTTCATTATTTTTCCATATTAATGAAATATCTGTACGCTGTTATGAAAAGATCTCCATCAGTAATAAATAATAAGACATACTTTATCTATCTAAATTAGGCCAAAATTTAAATGATCTTGCTAAACGAGTGACCTACCCACTGAAGGACATTCCTACGTCCTCTTTCAACAGTATCTTCGATAGCAGTGAGTGGTGCTGAATGGCTGTGAGCACACTCTCTGCAAGAAATGCATTTGCTTTTAACCTCTATTCCTGATCAACTTGCTTTTGCCTTCTTTCCTAGGAAGTGTGTAGAGAGCTTTGGTGCCTTAGCAAAAGCAACCGCTGTGTCACCAACAGTATCCCAGCTGCTGAGGGGACACTATGTCAGACTGGGAACATTGAAAAGGGGGTAAGCGCAAGTGATTTAGCTGTTTGACACTAAACCGATCAATTTCTTGTGCTGATGTTCACACACTGGAAATATTTATTCATTTAAAATGTACTATATTAAGATGTACTTTGGAATAATATGTTTTTAACCAAGTGTTAATTGTCCTATCTTAATAGCTACAAATGTGCTCTACTTACGAAATGAAAAGAGCCTGACTTCTCTGTCAGTTTCACACAAAAGAATAATAATAAAATAAAAAGAAGCAATTTATTGAACATGTAAATTATGGTTTGATAATCTTAGTTTTCATTAGTCTAATTTTAAAAAAATCTCTAAAGGGTTTGTCATGTAGGTTTGGGATATGGCTGAAATGCTAGAGCATTTCCTAAAATGTAGGAGGGTCTGAGCTCAATCTTCACTGCCGCAGGAACAAATAGAATTGTTCAAACAGATATAAAAAACATAGTATATTCCGCTACTAAAATTCTCTGGAATTGTTACATACGTAAATTCTAGAATTTATTCTATTGACTGGATTTATAATTAACACTTGTCATCTCTTCTCTGTTTTGCTTTCTTCCTTGTGAGCTGGGCTACTTTCAACAAAGATCACACTGAATTTCAGCTTTCAGTGGGATGTTTAAATAAAAAGAATGAAAGTTTTTGGGCAGCTGTCACAGTTTATTAATTCTTGCTGACGGCTTCATTCAGGACCCATGACCTAGTGCCATGTTGATGGCTTTTCCATGCTGGGTTTGGAAATGTTGGTAAATTATGCTAAATATAAGAATTGGTAAAACCATTTTAAAAGGATTAGGGATTTTTTTTTTCAAAATTTGTAAGTAGCCAATAAAAATACAGAGACCTTCATACCCTACAAAATTCTTTCTCTTTCTTTTTCACTGAAGTAATAGAAAATATTAGGAACCACATTCTTGAAACAACAGTCTAGGTTTATTTTGGACCTGCCAGTCCTTGTCAAGGACAAGTAGCAATTTACATCCATCTGCAAAGAAATGTACAAGTAAAGGAAGGAAGCCACAATGGGAATCTGTTGCTTTATTAGCCGTTCACTGATGGACTCTTCTTTTCACGGTCTGGCCTGAATCAGTTTCTCTTCTCTTAGAGTAGCACTGTCAATAGACCTGATGTGATTTTACTTTATTTTTTTAAGCAGGGAACTATTTTTTTATAAATATTTATGATTTACAGATGTAACTCAGTGATAGACTACTTGCCTAGCATTCACAAGGTTTGACTTCCAGCACTACAAAGAAGGACAGGAAATAAACATCTCAAAGCTTTCCTACAATTATTCCAGAAGTTATGCGATCACTACAAATATTAATAATTATACTGTGAGTTGTGGCAAAACATTAATCACTTAAGTGGCCCCCACAGACTTATTTGTTTGAATGCTTGGCCCATAGGGAGTGGCACTATTAGGAGATGTGGCCTTGTTGCAGGACGAGTGTCACTGTGGAGGCAGGCTTTAAGGTCTTATATACTCAAGCTATGCCCGGTGTGGTACACACTCTTTTTCTTCTGCCTGTGGATCAAGATGTAGAACCCTCAGCTCCTTCTCCAGCAGTGTGTCCGCCTATATTCCATCGTATCCTGCCATGATGATAATAGACTAAACCTGTGAACTCTAAGCTACCCAATTAAATGTTTTCCTTATTAAAGTTGCCATGGTCATGGTGTCTATTCACAGTAATAGAAATCCAAACTAAGACAGAAGTTAGTACCAAGGACTGGGGTATTGCTGATGTAGGCCTCACCTTTTTTTTTTTTTTTTTTTTTTTTTTTTTTGAGGACCATGGGCTTTGTAACTGTATCAGAAAAGCAGCTGAACCCTTTAAATGGGCATTAATGGACCAACCTAGTGGGAACATAGAAGAAAGTGGTGCCTAGGGTGATTTGAACTGTATGGGTCTGACTCAAGATGTTTCAGAGGAGTAGTATTTTAGTATGTAACCTAGAGATTGTTCCTGTGATGTTTTGGCCAAGAATGTGGCTGCTTTTTATCCTTGTCTGAAAAAAATCTGTCTGAGGCTGATGTGAAGAGTTTTGACTTAATTCCATTGGCAATCAAGTCTCAAAACAGCCCAGTATTGACTCTGTTGTGTTGTGATTAGTGTGTTCACTACTTTGAAGATCTATAATGAAAAGGAGCAAGCTGAGAAGGGAAAAATAAAAAAATGTACAATTTGAGGAGAAATGCGGCACCAGGAAGTGGAGTGGTGTTCAGTCCTATGTTCAAGGAGATAAACAGATTAAGAAATGGAATAAAGGAAGTGGTGACCCCAGGGCAAGATCCCACCCAGCTGAGTTTCCAACTTGTGAAAAGGAATTAAAAGAAAGTTTAGAGCCCTATGTGGTGGTGCACACCTTTAATCCCGGTACTTAGAAGGCAGAGGCAGGCAGGTCTCTGAGTCTGAGGTCACACTGGTCTACAGAGCTAGTTCCAGGGCAGCCAGCCGTAAGCACTAAAAAACAGAAAACTGGTGAAGATGTAATCCAATGAAGAAGCCATTCAACTCAGCAATCAGGGAGCCCCGGTAAACACCAGCTCCAGCAAGCGCCAGATCCTGGCGGCTTCAGTCACATGGTTCTGGCTTTAGAATCAAGGATACAAGAAAGTGGTTATGGAATCTCCCTCCATGACTAAGGAAATCCACTGATGCCTGGCATAATTCAGGAGTATCCCTGCATGGAGGCACAGAAAGGCCGTTGCATGAAGCTGTGAAGGTGAAGCCTGGATTACCTTGGAGACCCCAAAATTTTGGAGATTTCAGAATCATGGGCTACTTCCTGAGGACAGCTGCTAACAGGAAGTGGAACCAGCCCTAGAGAAAAAAAGTGTGCTGCAGTCAACACAGCAGAAAGGAGTTGGAGATCCGAAGAACGATTTGACATCAGAAATGGAGATGCAGAGTTTGGAGTTTACCCAGCTGCTTTCAGTCTTGCTTTGGTCCAACATTTCTTTACTATACTTCCATTCTTCCATTATGGAACAGTAATGTTTATCTTATGCCACTATAAGTTGGAAGCATATGATTTGTTTGTTTTTATTTTGATTTTATAGGGGATTACAATTAAGAGATTGCGTGAATCTCAGAAGAGATTTTGAAATTCGAACTTTTAAACATTGTTAAGACTATGATAGATTATGAAGATTTTTAAAAGTTGAACTAAATGCATTTTGCATTATGTCATGTCTGTAATCCTACGGTGGCCAGGGAGTGGAAAGTTCTGGTTTGAATAGGTATGCCCCCCCCCATAAACTCATGTGTTTAAAGCTTGGCCCAAGACAGTGGTGCTATTGGGAGGTGTGGCCTTGTTAGAGGAAGTGTGTCACTGTGGAGGTGGGCTTTAACGCCTTACGTGTTCACGCTATGCCCAGAGTGGTACTCGGTCTCTTTCTGCTGCCTGTGGATTAAGATGGAGAACTCCCAGCTCCTACTCCAGAACAAGGTCTGCCCTAATGCTGCCATGCTTCTTGCTCTGATGATAATGGACTAAACCTTTCAAAGTGTAAGCCAATTTTAGTTTAATGTTTTACTTTATAAGAATTTTTGTGGTCATGGTGTTTTTAGCATCTTCTTTTGTGCTGAGCTTGACTATTATGTCACGGAACTATATACATATATGTATGTGATGAAGACTGAATATCTCTTAGAAAATGCAAATTTGGAGAACACTTAGAAAACATTGGCAATGCTAAGATGACAGTGTTGAATTTAAGTTTATTTAAGTAAGTGGAGTTAGAATTATTCCCAAGCATGAATAAAAATAAGCAGAGAGAAAACAATGTAAATAAAATAGGCAAAAATATATTTGATTACTAAAGACTTACATTTTTACTTTAGTAGATTTTCAGATCCCTAAACCCTTTTTTCAGATGAAGCCTGCATAGTTTTAGTGTATGCATGTGAAATGAGGAGGCTCTGGCTTCAAGAGCTCCTTGTTGGGCATTAGTCTATCTTACCAGATCATTACTAGCTTATGGCATACCTCTACAGAATAACTTGGACTGAACAGAACACTACTTAGGAACCTTGTAACTGTAGCAGTGGTTGTTGATCAATACCAATTTTATCACAACACAACAGTTTGCCATTCAAAGTCAATATGGTGGATGCCATCACCTAAAATTAATATATAATGAAAATCTTAGTCATTTCATTTTCCCAGAAGCGTGGAAGATGGATAGTTTTAGGAATGGTACTAATAAATCTTAAAATGAATGAACTTATGGGAAAAAGACAAGTGCCAATTCCTAGAAGGAAAAATAATGTAAGAAAACAATTTAGGAGACCTTCAAAGTGTTCACAAAAACAAAACAACAACAACAACAACAAAAAACCAAAAAACAAAAAAAACTGAATTTATTTAGTATGATGTACATGGCAGTAATTGTCATTATTTGTGAGTTATGAGAACTGTGAGTTCTAAGTTAGCCTAGGCAATATAGTGTGGATTTATTCAATGTAAAATTTTAAAATGTGAGTGTGTAAAGGATAGCCCAGTGAGATAACATTTTGCTGTTGGCATGTATATAGTCCTATTCTACAGGCCATCAAGTGCTCATGTGCAAGTGCATACACACACACACACACACACACGTACAAACACACACACATATACGCACATAGCCATACACACATATACACATAAACACACACATACACATACACACACACATACACATACATACACACATAGACACACACACATACACACATACACACATATACACATACACACATACACATACATACACACATACACACATATACACACATGCACACACACATACATACATACACACACATGCACATATACACACACACATACACACAGTTTGAATTTTTAAAAAATATTTTACATCTGCACTTTAAAGCAAAGCACAAAGCAACGATGACTTAGCTCAATACTTTTTACTCATTGACTATATTTACTATTTTCTCTATGAATTTTTGTTTTTAGGAATTAAATACTTACTATTGCTAAGT